TCCTTCAGGTCTGTCCCACTAACAATGATTGAAAGTTCCTGTTCCTCAATACATGTGTGAACATTTGTTGGTTCAGTGTTTTGAGTTTCAGCCATTCTACTGGGTCTGTAGTGTTGTATCTTAGTTGTTTCAATTTGTGATTCTCTAATCATGTATGACATTGTATTATTCTGTTTTCACACGGCTATAAAGAAATGCCTGAGATGGAATAATTTATAAAAGAAAGAGGTTGAGTTGACTCCCAGTTCCACACAGCTGGGGGAGGCTTCAGGAAACTTATGATCATGGTGGAATGCGAAGGGGAAGCAGGTACCTAGCTGTCTTCCCTCCGTGTCTACTCACATTGTCATCTCTCTACTCATATCTCTATGTCAAAATATCCCCTTTTTATAGCGACTTCCATTAAGGCCAGCATTAATAACCTCATTTTAATTTGATTATCTTTGAACTAATCCTATCTCGAAATGACTGCCACATTTTAATTTCAATGTAGAAGTTTGTGGTCGAGGCAATAGAACTTATAATAGTGGCAAAGGTAAGTGGCAGATGTATATGTGTATCATTATATCATTACACATGTGTGTGTATATGTGTATATATATGTATACATAAAATAGCACACCCATCTTTATGAAAGCCCAAAATCAAAAATCATATTTACAATTTGCATGGTCCCATTGTTACTTGTGGGAACTTCTGAGTAGGAGGCTGAGTCTTGGAGGAAGTTTGTAAAGACAACAATGCCATTTCTATGTACTTTTAGAATTTTTTTGCAACAAAAATACACGCACCATTTACTTTTAAGTCAAATATTGAAATGACCCTAAGAAAAGGAAGAGGAGCACTCCTGTAGTCACATTAACAGTAACCTGATGGAAGAGAAAAAAGTCCCTGAAAGTTAAATGGCTTAACACGAGTTTATTTCTGTGCAAATAAATTCTGATTTAAGTTGGCAGGGTGTTGTGGGCTGAATTGTGTCCCTCTTTCCAAGTTCATATATCCAAGTCTCAACCTCCAGGACTGCAGAGTATCACTGTATTTGGAAACAGACCCTTTGAAGAGGCAACTAATGTAAACTGAGATCTTATGGTTAGGATCATATTCAATATGACTGGTGTCCTCATAAGAAGAGCAGATTAAGACACAGACACACAGACCAAGGAACAACCATGGAAGAAATCAGTGAGACAGTGGCCATCAGCAAGCCACGAAGAGGCCAGGGAAGAAATCAAACTGGCCAACACCTTGATCTTAGATATTTAGCCTCCAGAAATGTGAGAAAATACAATTCTATCGTTGAAGTCACCCAGCCTGTGGTACTGTGTTACGGTGTAAGAAACTAACCCACAGCGGGTCCTGGCTTTCAATTCAGACAGGAATCCAAGCTGCTTTCATCTTGTAGCTCCACGTCACAACAGATATCAACTGCTGAACAGAAATGGAAGCATGGGAATGATGCACTGGTTTCTGTCTACAAATGAACCAGCCAGGAAGGCGAGCTAGACAAGACAGAGGTGGGCACTTGTAGCCTCTTCCACATGTTATTACAGTGCTCAATGAAAAGCAACTATTATAACTAATGACAGGAAGTCCCTTCACAGCTTGGAATTGTTTCTGGGAATGTCAGCATAGGCTTGAAATCTTCCAACTTTTTCTTGCACTTACGAGGTGCCTGGTGGTTTCAAATACAGGATTACATCCAGTTTTAAAACAATTCTGTAAGTCTTCACAGGGAGGGTCAACATTAATCCCTCAATATCACTTGGCACTGTCCTTTAGTAACCTATATAATTTATTTAGGCTGAGAATTGTCTCATAGTTTTGGTGTATGAAAAATAACCTACCCTTTGAGCCTCTGCTACCCTGCATAGGACGGAACATTGCTGAACAGCTATACATGTGCCTGTGGTTCACTGCAAGTCAGGATTTTCCTGTGGAGCAGGTACACACACAAGACACAGTGGAAGGATGTTTAACTATTGCTTATTTCTCATCAGAGCTGGCATGTCCCCCAAAGTACCCTGGTCACCTTCTAGGCAGTCTTCAAGATTTTTTTTTTTTTTTCAGAAAATCACCTTCTAGTAGATCATTTATAATGTGATGTCTATAGCTTTTCCTCATCCACAAAGTTTATGAAGGAAATATTGGCATGTGATAATCTACAAAAGCTTATTCATCTCTGTTTGTGTTCAGTGCCCTGTTTCAAATAATGCATCGCATTAAAATCATACTGCAAGTATCAAATATTAGGAAGATTTCAAATAGGTTATATCTGACCTTAGGATTACATGCCACAAACCCATATGTTATGTGGAAAATCAGATTTTACTCTGCAGCCTATGTGGAAATATGTTGAGTGTGTGTTGAAGATGCCCAGCCTAGGTATGGAAATGACACTATCCAAAGTGAATATTCACATCGAAGGGCCTTTATCATAGAGGAGCCCCAGGGAGGGATGGATCACTCAGGGAACTTCTCCAGGGACACACAGTGGTCTATGTCAGGGAAAGGGCAGATGTCTCTGGGCTCTTGCACTGAGGGCTGGGCACAGGTTTCAGAGTGCGAGACCACAGTGAGAAGTTAGTCAGCAGGCCAGCTTCCAGAGTTGCACAAGGGAGCACACAGGGGAGACCAACTGGAGGGTGCTGTAATGTGGGAAAGGCCTGGGGCTGGACAAAAGCACTGGCACCCAGACACAGTCAGCTCTCAAGAAACCTAGGGCTCATAACAGGAAGAATTTAGCTAAAGAAAGCCCAAACGATCCCTGAATGGTATTGATTCGCATTGTCACCTTTCTTCTCTAGGCCCATCTAAATACTTTGTCACAGGTTTCTTCTTTATGTTACCTGGAAGACATTAGGAAATGTGAAGAGAAGTGACTTAACGGGAAGAAGGCCCTATGCTCAGGCTGAGAGGAGTGGGGACAGTGTGGGTCTAGATGATTTCAGAACTCAAGCCCCAGCCCAGTCACTTTCTAATCATGTGATCATCATGGGATCTTGGGGAATTTGTCATGAACTATAACCTCAGCTTCTTCGTCTGTAAAACGGGTTTGATAATCCCTGTGCTGTAGAATTGCTGGAATGTATGTAATGTGAGTAAAACACCTGCCACACAGCTGGGCATGTCTTGGAATTTTAATAAATGGCAGTTGTCATCAATATGATTATAACCCCAAAGTCTACCACTGTCTTTTGAGGAAAATTCAGCTCATGTTTTTTTATCCAAAACGTCAAAGAGAACATCCAGCTGAGTATGTCATGGAATATGAACTGAACCAAAAGTTTGGCTTCGTAAATATAACTAAGGACATTTACTATCTAAAACGATATATTGTATCATTCAGCTAAGGAGAGGCTTGCACAGCTGCATACAAATCAAAGATTGTAGACTTTGAGTTAAGGACCAACTCCTTTTCACCTTCCCCACTGATCATCCACCTAACCACTAGTTTTATTTAAGCTCCACTAAAAATCTACACATTGCTTAGACTTGTCCACATTACTTTCAGAAGAACCCAACAAAAAGTCCTGTCAATGGAATGGGCTTGGGCTCTCCCAGGCCAGGCAAATGAGTGTCAGCCCGGAGGCTTCTGAGCACCACATCAAGGAATTCTAACCACATTTCTCAGGAAACCCTTGCAGATGATGGGGATCAACCACCTAGTCCTTGTACTGTGTTCACGCTCCCCAGTGACAGAGCCACAGGACACCTTCCATGACTTCCCCATGTGGAGACTCCTCTCTGCTTCATCCTCCACCCAGAGCCAACTGCTCAAGTAGTTTTCCATTCCAGGCTTTTCTCTCAGCTTCTGAGAATCTGGGCCCTGCCACCACCCGGCTTCATAACAATCAGCTCTCACAGAAGCACCTGCAGTTTCCCAAAGCCCAAAACTGCCTTAGCTCAGAGCCTTTTTACTCAAAGCCTCCATCTGGAGTCTCACCTCCCCACTCCTTTTGAAACTTACTCTTTAGATTGTAGAGAAAATCTTACCACATTCCTGATATGGCGTCTGTAGCTACACTTTACTGTTTTAGGGGTAGGGATAAGTCTTGCTTTTAATAGTAACTTCACTACTAACGGTAACTTCTATGAGCAAATGCTGATATAATGGTCATCAAATAAACGAGTCACAGGCACTTTTATTTATTACAATTTACTTTTTGCTACTTTCTTACATAAGCCAAGCAAACCAGGTATGTATCTTTACTTTTCAAGAACAACAAACTAAAGGGCCTGAGGAAATGCAAATATTAACAATCCTTTACTTTGTTCCAGTATTTAACTGTAGAGTTCCTTCACAGTTTCAAGAAAATTCCTACAGCAATACCACATTCACCTGTGACACATCACAAAATGAGGCAGGTTTTCCCAATGTGGTGTGTTTGTGTGTGTTTTTGTTTTTACAAAATATCAAACTGTTACTCTTAAACCAGATAAATAACAATACATCTGTGACTAATATTCATAAACTAAGATTCTGAAGCTATTTAAACCTGTTATTAATAGGAAAAGCATTTGAAAAATACCCAAAAGGAAAACAGGTAAATCCCTTAACCACCCATATGGAACAGAAGTGCAAACAGCACTGTGTTCTCTCCAGCCTCAGCCGGGCCCTCCACCACGTGGAAACTCGACCGCCCTCTTCAAACTCAGAGGGAA